TTCCCGAACCAGTATAAAATCGGTGTGCATTTTATTTACGCTTTTATTTCTGCGTTTTATATATTGCTTCCGCATTTGCCAACACCGTTTTTATTAAACTCCGAAAAGATTTTAAAACGCCTTATTCACCCCCCCTCTAAGGCGTGGGCACAACGACTAAACCGACTAACAATTGGTATCAGAGCAGTTTCGTAGTTGAAAGTGCTTAACCGCATCTACGACAAAGATCCACTTGTTGTGTCCTTTTTTAATTTGAATTTTTAAAATCTCAAAACTTAATTTTTCCCTAATTTTTTTAAAAAAATTCAAATTTACTAAGAAATGGCCCAAATGGATTCCCAAAGCATCCACCGCCCTCCATTTTTTAATGGTCAAAACTATTCTTATTGGAAAATGCGGATGGAATACTTCATTCAATCAATTGATTTTGATTTATGGTTGAATGTACTTCACGGGCCATTTGTGCCGAGTATTGGTAATCTTGCAGGATTATCTCCGGAGGATAAAAGAAAGTTATCAATGAATGTAAAGGCAATCAACATCCTCCATTGCCCCCTTGGTCCCGATGAATTTGCAAGAGTGAGTACATGCAAAACTGCCAAAGAAGTATGGGATCTATTGGAAGCCACTCACGAAGGGGATGTCTCGACAAAGCAAACAATGATTTCCCTTGGGAACGCCGAATACGGATCCTTCAAGAAAGGACCATGTGAGACAATCCAAGATATGAACAAGAGGTTCAATGAGATTGTCAACAAATTGAGTAAGTTGGGTAAGACGTATACTACTTCCGAGCTAAATACGAAAATTCTATTTTCTTTACCTAAGGAATGACATAGTAGTATAGTGGATTTATTACCCAAATGTGATAAGGCCGAAACCGCCCACATTTGGTCTTCCTTGTATTCTCACGAACTTTTGTTGAGAAAGATCAAAGAGGAAGAAATGCGTGAAAATCCCAAGCTTACCAACGCCTTCAAAGCTTCCAAAGACACGTCAAGTGAAGAATCAAGCGAGTCAAGTGATTCAAATGACTCAAGCTCCTCGGAAGAGTCAAATGACGAGGAAGATGAAGAGAAGGCGATGAGAATGAAATATACGGATTTCCTCAAATGGAAGAAGTATGTGAAGAGGAAAGAAGTATATTCAAAGCCGAAAAAAGAGCGGCATAAACCAAGGTAAATTCTTCTCACTTATTGGGATAAGATATTTTGTTTTGTTTTAATTATTTTCAAAAATAAAACCTTATCTCATACGTGCT